TTTTTAAACTTACTTTTTATTTTCATGAAGCGAGAAATACAGAACATATTTTCAACAAAGAATTTTACATATGTTTGTCTGTGAAATGTTTCTTCCCTTTAACCCTCTTACCCACACTCCACCACCCACCCTCAGCCATTACAGTTTTTGAATCTCCGCTCCTCTACTACCATATTTTCAGATCTTTCAACTTCTGCCATAGAATACAGCCATTCCATACATTTGAGTGGAGGTAGCAGTATGTATCTTTTCTCATATTTTTAAAACCCATGTTGTTTCTATCCCTGAAATATTGAGACATTGTAATTCCATTAATATGATAAAGTTGGGTAATCATTGAACGTCAACAAGTTTATAGCAAATTAAGAGCAAATAATGAGTTTATAATCTTAATCAAATTAATGGGGAACAGTTTATAATTTTAATCAAATTAATGGGGAACTTCCACAGGATTCTCTAAGAATGAAGACATTACTTTAAAGGAGAAGACATTCGAGAGAATGTAAGAGAGCTGTCTATTTATTGTGAAGAATAAGCAGGCTGTGAGTAGAGACATTGTCACTAAATCTCACTGGAAACCTTCCCTTATGGGTAAGCCTCACAGAGGTATCATGAAATTTCCATTAAAATGCCTTTTACCTGGGAGGCGTATTAAGCTATAGAAAGCATTTCAAATTTAATGTGATAATGTGGTATTTTAAAAATTATTAGAGATTTAGAAACTCTAAAGAGCATAATACTTATAGATATCATACCAATATCATGGAGAGTATTCAAAATTTGTTTTTATTTCCCTCACAAAAGAAAGAAATCATAAGAAAATATCTTTTAATTTTGGAAAAGGCACAATATATGTACTGACCACAGGTTTCTACACTGGAATGAAGTAATTCATGCAGAAAAAGCTTTTCCATCCTGGGCATTCACACAACATTTTCAGACAGTCCCTGACAATCACAGTATAGAAAGTGTGATTCATTTCCTCTAACATGACTTGACCCACTGTGAATGCGCTCATTTTCAAGGGATGCTATAGGATTTTTTTAGGAGGATCTTTCTGTGAGTGCATGGAAAGTTCAGAGGAGTAGAATTAGACACATTCTGTTTTAGCATCTCAACTGAATTTCTTCACAATTTCTTTTGACCAGAGATGCCAGGAAAGGCTAAGGAAAATCACTCCTGGACAGCTGAGTTTATCCTCACAGGGTTTTCAGGTCACCCAGAGCTGAAGACCCCTCTGTTTGTGGTCTTCTTTGCCATCTATCTGATCACCATGGTGGGCAATCTTGGGCTGGTCGTGTTGATTTACATGGAGCATCGTCTTCACACACCGATGTACATCTTTCTGGGCAACCTGGCTCTGATGGATTCCTGCTCCTGTGCCATTACCCCCAAGATGTTGGAGAACCTCTTTTCTAAGGACAGAAGGATTTCCCTCTATGAATGTATGGCACAGTTTTACTTTCTCTGCCTTGCTGAAACTGCAGATTGCTTTCTCCTGGCAGCGATGGCTTATGATCGCTATGTGGCCATTTGCAACCCCCTGCAGTACCACATCATGATGTCCAAGAAACTCTGCATTCAAATGACTGTAGGGACCTTCATAGCTAGTAACCTGCATTCCATGATTCATGATGGACTTCTGTTAAGGTTAACTTTCTGTAAGTCTAATCAAATCAACCATTTTCTTTGTGATAATCTTCCATTGTACAGACTCTCTTGTACTGACCCTTACATTAATGAATTAATGATATATATTTTTTCAATGCCAATTCAAATCTTTACCATTGCCACTGTCTTGATCTCTTATCTCTGCATCCTTTTCACTATTTTCAAAATGAAATCCAAGAAAGGAAGAGGTAAAGCCTTGTCTACCTGTGCCTCCCACTTTCTCTCTGTCTCAATATTCTACAGTTGTCTTCTCATGTACATTCGACCATTTGAAGACAGGGATAAAAATATACCAGTGGCCATATTTTATACAATAGTAATTCCATTATTGAATCCTTTCATCTACAGCCTGAGAAATAAAGAGGTATTAAATGTTCTGAAAAAAATTATGAAAAATTATAGTGATCTTAAACAAACTTTGTCCAGTTCAGCAAGTTGATTTTAATTTTAAAAATGTTTCCATACATAAGGAATACTGAATAAGAAAAATGTGTTTTATATTAAATGCTCGTCAAATCATTAGGTAGTGTTTATTAAGAGATGTATGAATTGAATTTCAAAATTAGCTGAAAATCTAAATCCAAATTCCGGAGCAGGAGCAAATCAGCAGAAACTCGATAA